AAAAAAAAAAAAAAAAAAACCGGCGACTGGCCGAGCCAGCAGAGCCGACGAGAGCCAACACACACCGTTCCCCGTTCTCTCTATTCTGACTTTCAGGCATCTGTTCAACCAAGCGATCATGCAGTCCGGCTCGCCGACCGCGCCCTGGGCCATCATCTCGCGAGAGGAGTCGATCGTGCGCGGCATCCGGCTGGCCGAGGCGGTCGGCTGCCCGCACGACCGCGACAACCTGCAGGAGGTGATCGACTGCCTCGTACAGAAGGACCCGATCGAATTGGTGAAGAACGAATGGGGCACGCTCGGCATCTGCGAGTTCCCCTTCGTGCCGGTGATCGACGGGGCGTTCCTCGACGAGACGCCGCAACGCTCGCTGGCCACCTCCTCCTTCAAGAAGGCCAACATCATGATGGGCTCCAACACCGAGGAAGGTTTCTACTTTATCATCTACTACCTCACCGAACTGTTCCGCATCGACTTGGCCGACGACGTGAAGGTCAGCCGGGAGCAGTTCGTCAACGCCGTCGCCGAGCTCAATCCATACATCAGCCAGATCGGCAGGCACGCCGTCATCTACGAGTACACCGACTGGCTGCACCCGGACGACCCGCACGTGAACCGCGACGCCCTGGACAAGATCGTCGGCGACTATCAGTTCACGTGCAACGTGAACGAGTTCGCCGGCCGTTACACCGACACCGGGAACACCGTTTACATGTACTATTACAAGCACAGGTGAGATCCCATTCTTCCCCCCCCCCCTATCTCCCCCTTCTTATCTCTTTCGCTCTTTCGTTCGGTAGATCCGCCAACAATCCGTGGCCGAGATGGACCGGCGTGATGCACGCCGACGAGATCAGCTACATCTTCGGCGAGCCGCTGGACCCCTCCAAAGGCTACACGCCCGACGAGGTGAACCTGTCCAAGAAAATGATGAGATACTGGGCGAACTTTGCGAAAACCGGGTGAGTCGGTAAAGTAGTATACTTCCCACTTGACACGTTGAGTGCCGTGCCTACTTTGTTTACGCCATTTGATAGAATTTGGTAAAATCGATAGCCAAAAAGGCGAGGTCGCGGTTATACCTAGCCTAAGAAAATTTTTGTGAATGATGAAAATTGTATTAGGGGCACCCGTGAGTAATGTCGTTTTTTTTGATACTGTACTGAAAATTTTATTTTACTTCAGAGTTAATACTATGATATAATCTGTCCTTCG